TATTAACATTTAGCAGGCGGATCCGTGTTAACCCAGCTCCGTTACAACCAAGACTTCAGACGCTCAGCAACTGGCTGGATACCGCGTACTTAACGATGTTTCTTGTTCCGTTGACGTGTGGTGACATCATGAAAAGATTGGTTCCAGAGTGGGTTATAATGAATTTTAAACATATGCACATTTCCCTTCTCTGAGTATGTAGTCTTAGGGCATAATTCTGCCCATCAGGTGGAATCAAAGTGCTCTATGAGCAGTGAGGAATTCTAGATCAGCATTTGGCACACTCCGGAACATCAGGTATGAAAAGTCCAAAAAAATGAGAAAAACTAAGTCACGTGGGAGAAGGAAACTTTGGAAACCTCAAGCATTCTCTTCCTCCGAGAAGTGATTGTCCCAGGTGGTCGGCCCAGCGGTTTGGGGACTTCTTCCTCTTTGCTGCCGGCTGCTTTGCTTCCTCTTTAGCGGGCAGCTCCGTGTTCTGCGAACGTTGTGTATTTTTGTGGTTCGCTTTCCAATCTACCCTCCAAGGCCTGTGGTGACTCACAAGTCCCGGCTCCAAGTGTTGGCCACAGTCTCAGTGGCTTGGCAGGACACCCCACTCTGACTCCCATCTCCTTGAAGGAAGCCTTGCAGCTGAGGGAGTCCATGACAGGGGCACAAACCTTATCCAAAATCGATGGCATTGTGTCAGGAATTAAACCATCGGTGATTTGGCTGTGCTTCTCATCCCCACGCTAAACAACACAGCACTATTTTGGTGACTTAATCCAATTACAGTCTTTGAAAGAGTACTGTCAGTGCCACCTAGTGGAACTATTGTAAATCCCACCGCCTCGTGATGAGTCCCTAAAATCAGGTTGTTTTCCGGTTTCAAAACCGTCTGGCCTACGGATTCACGTCAAGAGGTTCTGCAAACTTGTCCCCCGATTATGTGCTACACAGAGTCTTACTAGCCGCAAGGCCACTTGAGTGATGTTGGACGGTAGCTCTTACTCGGCCTCCAACGTTTGTAGACGTGATATTCCTTCTCAAGAAAAAGTCGCTTCGGTTCCTCACGGCATTCACGGATATCTGTGTGCACAAGCCGGCTCTCTGTGCTTTAGCCAACATATTCTACAGCAGATCCTACAAGGACCAACTGCCCAACTCATAACGAGCTTCTCTTGAATACCACGCTTACCCCCATCGGTAAGCTCCAAAGAGACATTTGGTATTTGGATTTGATGATCTGGCCACAACGGAAGGACACTGATCCAAGTAACACCAATCAAATTGGGAATTTGGAACTGAGACTGGAGCAGAGACAGGAGTTGGGAAATAATCCTGATAGTAGGTCTGTATCTATTTATGTCTATGTATCTACCCATCTATCTATCATCTGTCTATCCATCCATCTATCTATCTATCTATCTATCTATCTATCATCTAGCTCTCTAATCTAGAGAAGAGAAAACAAACAAGCAAATGAGGAGGTTTTTTTCTGAAATCAAGTTAAAGATTCTCTTTAAAAATGAAAGTGAAAGAAAGAAAATGACCTTCCATGTTCAGATATGTTTGGGAAATCTTGTTCCACAAACTTAAACAGTTTATTCTCCACGGGACCACTTATAGCCTTTCGTACGCCAGCGCGCACCATGAATCTTCTGGAAGAGGGGTAGAACACTGATCTCAAGATCTTTCCAGGAAGCTGGGAGCCCCAGCAACAGTCATGCAATCTCTCAGAAGCGCTGCTCAGAGTGCTTCCTTAAGTACTTCCTGAGGGCCCGTGGAACCCCAGGGCTTACTCACACATAGATTTCCGAATCCCAGGCAGGGTCCCTCGTGCGGCAGGTCTAGGGTGGTGCAGAATGTGCTTTTCTAGCAAGTTCCCAGGTGATGCTGATCTGCTGGCCTGAGGAACACATCAGAGAAGAACTCTCTAAAGCAGCCTTTCATATTCAGAGAGGAGCTGGAGTGTCCCCCAGCACGGAGTCATCTGCTGAAGACCGAGTCCGGGGGCAGTGAGTGGCCTTGAACCACACCAGGGCAATCCACTGGCGCAGGACTAGAGAGAGGCCACCAGGAGAGACCTCGAAGCTTCTTACAGAGACAGGTGCCCACCTTCTTCCAGAATAATGTTGAAAATGCACCCATGTGCTCAACAAGTCAGGATTTCCATCAACTGGCTAAATTACTAAGAACTAGATAGTCATATGCTGATCCTTAGAATGACCTCCCTGTATTGTTTTTTCAACTAACAGGCCTCAGCACTCCATAAACTTTCGGTTTGCTTTCTTGTATGTTTGTCACAGAGAAACGTGCAGATTCCTCCGTAGCTTCGGGAAAAGTAGGAGGAACAGGGTGGAATCCAGGGGCTCCTTGGTATAGTTTACCCATTGCGGGCTGCGCAACTCATCATAAACACCCCTGTGACTCTCTACTGGGCTCCAACAAGTCTTTTTTAGTCTGGAGGGCTGACCTGGAGCCCTTTCCCTGAGTCTCTTCGCCACCCCAGAGATGCTCGTGCTGGATGCTCTTGGGCGTCTCTTCCACGGGGAGGACTTCCCCAAGCTTCCCTCCTGTGCCCCTTGCCCCATCCATACAGTAGGTAAAATCCCTCTTCCTGGAGGGTCTCTGAGGACTGTGTGTCTTTTCTTTACAGCGTGTATCATAGTTGTATTTCATGCTTATTTGATTAATGCCCATCTCAGCAACCAGACTGTGAGCCCCAAGAAAATAGTAAGGTTCTACTCTGCATCGTATCCACGGCATCTACTGAAGTTCCTGACACAGCAGAGGTGCTCAAGTAAGATTTACTGGGTGGATGGAAGGAGGGAAAGGGAGAGGGAGGGAGGGAGAGAGGGGAGGATGGACGGATGGATGGACAGATGGACGGATGGATAGATGGAAAGATGGATGGATGGATGGATGGACGGACACATGGACAGTTGGATGGATGGATGGATGGATGGACAGATGGATACACAGGTGGATGAACAGATGGATGAACGGGCATGTTCTACTCTGATAGCAAGCCTTAGAAATCAGGAACCCTATGGCGCAGTCAAGGAAGACAAAATGGAGTCCGACTCTGAGGGGCGCCCTGGGAGGAAATAGCCAGCATTGCTTCTGCACCCGCAGCCACCGGTCATGCTCTCCTAAAATCATTTAACTTACTGAGTTTTGATCGTTTTGCCTCCACAGTAGGATATAAGTTCTCCAGGGGGTAGGCAGCAAGCTTTTCTTGTCAGTCTCAACGTCTCGGCTGCCTGACCTGTAGTGGACCCTTACCGAATGTTTGGGGACGGCAGTGTTTGCCCTCCTCCTGAGAGGCCCCTGTCCCCCATATTCCCACAGCCTCACCAAGTGGCTGTGTCTCGTGGTAGACATCACGACAGTCAGGCCCCAAGAGGTTCAAGAACTTGTTTAGGGTCCCCCGCCAGGGGTCATGGCAGAGAAAGTGGCAGAACTCTGTCTTCCTCGCTCCAGATCCAGGGACCCTCACACTTCCTTCCCAACAGTGCTCTCAGCAGGTTGAGTCTGAGGAACCTGTGCTCCACGCAGGGAGCTGCCCGCCCACCAACCCCACCAGGGATCTTGTTAACACAGCCTGGGACAGTTCATTCTAAATTCTGGATTGAGTCTCCCTACAAACACACAAAACAAAAACAATGAGCGAACTACATTCACCGAGAGATGGGCAAGAAACAGGAATGATTTAAAAGGACCCTCTTTGTGTGAGTAAAGTCTAAAATTACACCGAAAGGCAAAATACACTGCTCTCTGTTCAAAACATGTTTTTTATTAGAAACAACATAGACGCTTCCTAACACATTCTGCAAATATAATACACTTTATTTTCTTTGCCTGAACTTCTGTGAACAAGATGTTCCTCCCTCGGTGGTCATTCCTATATTCAGGGTGAACTCTGTGCCAGGCAGGGAAACGTGCTGAGGGATCACAGGAATGGGAACGAAGGAGACAGAAAGCTAGTTCGCACCCTCAAGAAGACTGCGGCCGTGTTGAATGCAGAATGTTTTTATTTTGGATGTGTCCGTTTTAGCATACTTCCAGTTTATAAGATATGTTCGAGTCTCTATCTTCGGAACATATCCTGTGCATCCAAGGTAAACTGGACAATTAAAACAATTATCTGGGCGAAATAGGGCTAAAATACGACTTTGAGTCTTAATCAGATGAGTTATGAAAGAGTGATACCATGGCCTTAGATCATCGTGATAAGAATTTTAATGCTCTGATATTTTTGAGAGACCTGAAATGTTTGGATACAAAAAGAAACTGTCTCTCTTTATCTTCTATAACAGGCAAAAGACGCCTTCTTTGACAGTAGCTCTGGAATCACGGTCAAAGGGAAAATTAAACAGAACCCACAGGCACATGTATTATCCTTAGCCTTGGCCTCTGTCTCTCCTCTATAGTGACTTTGATACATCCTAGTGTTATGAACGGGGCCATGTACATTCAGATGTTGTCAGTGCAAACCCAAAATGGCTTCTTTGGAAAGTTGCCCTGCAGTATCTTTATGACAGATAGTTCCCTCTGGTTTTTATCTTTTCTTGGTTCCTTACGCTCCTGGCAAATTCCACTTTCATACTCTTTGATGCTTTTTCATAAAGACGATTCATTAATTACGTAACTATGATTTACTTCTATACCTTTGCAAAGTTTCCTTATAAATATATTTTAAAAAATGATGCTAACTGTCTCTGACACCCCATATGTCCCATTTCTGCTGCGGCAAGCACTGTTGAGTACGACTTCTGCAGTGCGCAACGATGAGGCGGTCCTTACAGAGGATCCGTTCCATCACTTGAAGATTCACTGTGGTTCCAGCCACGTCTAGCTATACACATCCCACCCATTCAAAGATAAGTTACTGACGCTTGTTCACAGAACGAAGCTTTCCCCTGACACCCCGTCATCCCCCACACCCAGTATCACTGGAAGTGTTATCTCAAATGCTCTCCAGGATTTAAATAACAGCAGTATTTAAACGACAATTAACACCACAACAGGGAATTTGCTGGCAGGACGCGAACAATACGGCTACTCCAGATGCTGTATTCAAACTGGATGGGCCCGTTGAAAAAATAGATGTAACCTGTAAGAAAAAGACCAAAAAGAAAATTTCACCGTCTGGAAACAATAAGGGTTTATGCCAGCTCACGTTAACAGTGCAACCTGTGGGGTCCCATTTTTTTTTTAACATGGCAACGTTTATGTTTCAACCCTTCTAGGGGCGCCTGGGTGGCGCAGTCGGTTAAGCGTCCGACTTCAGCCAGGTCATGATCTCGCGGTCCGTGAGTTCGAGCCCCGCGTCAGGCTCTGGGCTGATGGCTCGGAGCCTGGAGCCTGTTTCTGATTCTGTGTCTCCCTCTCTCTGCCCCTCCCCCATTCATGCTCTGTCTCTCTCTGTCCCAAAAATAAATAAACGTGGAAAAAAAAAAATTAAAAAAAAAAAAAAAGAATCG